TTTGTAGGTGTGACAATGCTATTATCGGACTCAAGATTAAATATGGTTCTCGGGAAAACACTTCAGACACCCTAGATTATCTAGTTAGCGGCTATTTGTGGCATAAGGACTATTCAGATATCCTATACTATTTGAGCACAAATACAATTCCATTTGATTCATTATTCATTCATTCGAAATTCGCAAGTTTGATATATACTCGAAGGGAGTAATTTGAATATTGAGAATATGGTGCCATTGATAAGCTAAGTTTGTATAAGTTTTACTAATAGAAATCAAGTCCTTGAAGTAACCATTCGTACATGATTAATTAACTTTTTGAAGTGATTAATTAATTGATAAACTTTGATGATAAGTTAATTAATATGTTTATGTTATGTCTCTATATTCTTTTTTTTTTTTTATGTTTATGCTTGTGAATTGAATGAAGTATAATAGTGTAGGTGTTTACTATGGAGCTTTTGAAGCTTGGTATTTGGATTGTTTTTGTTTTCAAGTTAGTAGATTTTATTTGAGTTAGAGGAGCAATATCAATGAGGGATCTTCAACGTCATCTATTGAAAGTATATTATTTAATTCTTGAGTGGACATATTCTTAAGACCTTTCTAATATGCAATATGTAACTATTATTATTCTTTTGATTTACACTATTTCATATTCAGAGGTTTGATTTGTATAATTATTTCATCTATTTATACATTGATTTACTCAATATGAATGTTCTGAAAAGTATTGTACATTTATGGTAAAAAAAATTTAAAGGTTTAAATTTTGTAACAGTTTAAGACTATCATATATTGTGAGTCAGGTTTTGAATTTTTTTTACGTAAACTAGACATAATTATAATTTTAAAAAATATATATCCAAAAAATAAATTTTAAAACTACAGTATTATATATATAATATATATATATATATATATATATATACTATTTTCTTCTTTATTTTTTTTATGTCAATCAATTTTTTTTTTCTAACTTGATGAAAGTTGACATTTTCAGAATTACAAATTTTATTTTTACCATATTTTCTTTACCGTAACGGGCGTCGGACGGGTATTATTAATTTATTAATAATCTAAAATGATTACAATTTATAAGATTTATGTTTATTTAGATTTTTTTTTAGTATTGACAATATAGATATATTTTGTATTTTTAATTTATTGAGACCATCCTAAAGATCTATCTTTTGTACAAGTATTATTAATTTATTAATAATCTAAAATGATTACAATTTATAAGATTTATGTTTATTTAGATTTTTTTTAGTATTGACAATATAGATATATTTTGTATTTTTTTTATAAACATGTGATAAATACAATATAGTGTATATTCAAAAACTTTCAATAATTTGATAAAGAATGTTTATATTCTTAAATATATGGTATTCAAACTCAGTATCTCAAAAAATAAAAATAATCTTTCAACTACTAAGATCGTTTAATTATCAATAAATAGATATCAATGCAAGTTGTTGAAAAATACTTCTAACGAACAAAATGTGATTGTATATAATGACTGATGTAAAAGTTTATGTTAGGAGATGCAAATTTAAGAAGTTATATTAAAAGTTTTAGAAATGTAGATTTATAAAATTTTAGAAGATATAAAATTAAATAATTAATAAAAAATACATTAAAATCTAAAATACGAATTTAAAAATTTTAAAGATATGAACGAAACCCAACACTCCCCGTCCATTCTGTTGTATACACCGAATGTTTTGAGAGTAAAGAATCCAATGTTAGCAAGTAAAAGAGATGCCAAGTAACCAGAATAAGATGACAGGTGTAAACGCATAACGTGCGTGTCAAGCTCATGTGTTTCAGCCTTTGCATTGCCCAATTTGGCTCATCTTTTAATAACATATCAAAAATCTCTTCCAATTCTGAATTCCATGTTACATTTTTAGTACCAACCATGGATCTCATTCAGAAGTAGGGAGAGGGTAAAAAAAATTCGAATCCAACGGTAAAATTGAAAATTGAATTAAACGAGGATGGAGAAAAATCATTTATGTTAAACGGAGATAGAAATGGGGACGGGACGGGTTTAGTAATCTCCGTCCCTATTACTCGATTATCCGGCCCGATATCAAGCCCAATATCTAATCTGATAAATATTAAAAATAATATATTTTATATATATATATATATATATATATATAATATATATATATATATATATATATATATATATATATATATATTTAATATTATATTAAATTTATATATATTATTATATATATACCCGGCCTGATACCCGGCCCGAAACCCGTTTAAATAATCATTTATGCTAAACGGGGATACCAGTTTTCCCGTAGTTTTCCCCGATTACCCGATAGGGATCCCCGTTTAAATCCCGTAGTTTTTTAAACAAAAACAAAAACGAGAGACAATACCCGGCCCGAACCCGACCCGTTACCATCCCTATTCACAGGTTCTGAACCTCGTGGCTTCTCCATTCACCTTCTTCTCTTTGCTCTTTATATTACCACCATTTTATCTCTTCAAGTCCTTCCTTTTCGTCTTACACTCCCTTTTCCCTGAGAATCTTGCAGGCAAAGTTATCCTCATCACCAGCGCTTCTTCCGGCATTGGAGAGGTAGTCAACTTTCCATCCATCGTTTCTCAATTTTCATGACACAGCTTATGGACTTTCCTTTTTGGTTTTGCAGCATTTGGCATACGAGTATGGGAGGAGATTGGTGATAGAGTTCGTGATTTGGGGTCTCCCGGTGTTATTGTGATTCGAGCCGACGTTTTGAAAATCGATGACTGTAGACGACTTGTTGATGAAACTGTGAATCATTTTGGAAGATGTAAGTCTACAAACATAAAGTCTTCTCTCTTTGTATGCAGTTACTGTTAATTGGGCATGGCCTTGTTATGGATACAGTGGACCATCTGGTGAATAATGCTGGAATCAATTCAGCCTGCCTCTTTGAAGATGCACCCCCAAACATGGCTAATTTCAGAACTATCATGGTAAATGATTTCTATGTTGGATTTAAATTTTTGCAGCCTGCTGTCGTGTTTTCGGTTGCATCTCTATTTATCGCAATTTTCGTAATAGCAGATGTTATTGCGGTCATTGTGAGTATCTCAATTTCGCAATAATGGTTTCAGATGATATATTTGCCGATGTATAATGGCAGCTATTCCGATATCCTGACCTCTCTACCTCACATGGGTGTCTTTTGCAGGACACAAATTTCTGGGGCTCAGTTTATACGACCAAATTTGCAGTTCCACACCTCAAGAACAGCAGAGGCAAGATCGTTGTCATATCGTCGGCAGCTTCATGGATGAATGATCCTAGATTCAGTGTCTACAGCGTAATTTTTCTCCACAAAATCTGCGTTATATGATAATGAGTAGTTTCTGATTCTTCAATGACTAAATACATCTCAGGCAAGCAAAGCAGCTTTGAACGCCTTCTTTGATACATCGAGGATCGAAATCAGATCATATGTTACAATAACAATTGCAACACCTGGTTATATGAGTCCGAACTCACCACGGGCAAAAATTCCTTCAGACAGATGGAAATTTAAAGTACAGCAAGACCTGAGAGATGTAAACTTAGCTACCCTTTTTAACTCGTTCTATATTCAGACCATTTCATGATGAAAATGTGGCATTTTCCCCCATTTTTGAATAGGTTCAACTAGGTCCGATCCCAGTCGCATCACTCGGTGGTTGCGCAGAGGCGATAGTGAAGAGCGCGAGCCGGGGCGACCGGTACGTGACGCAGCCTTCGTGGTTCAGGATGACCTACCTGTGGAAGAGCTATACCCGGAATTGGTGGAATGGGGTTACAGATTTTTCACTCTTGGAGCTCCACAGCAGGAAGCACCCAACAAGAAGATATTGGATCTCACTGGTTTGAAGAATGTTGTTTATCCAGCATCCATCAGATCACCCGAGATTAAGACAGGTTAATTAATGTCTAAATTAATCTGCTGTTAATGTTTAATCATTCATTAGTACTGTGGTTAATAGCTTTTATCCATGTATGTCCGCAATAATAATAAACTGTGTATGGCCTTGTCAAAACAGCTAATGAACTTGAATTGTGTCGTCTGCTTAAGAAATATTTGCTACTGCTTAAAAGTTTTTCATTTCCAACTGTTTTACTCAAGATCGTATGTTCTTGAATGAAGCTCAAAAAATGCGAGTGAAAGAAATCAAAGAAAAGTAAACACAGTTCAAGAATACGAGTGAAACTGTGAAAGAAGTGAAAATTTTAGAGTAAATTATAAATTTTATCATTCAACTTCATTTTATCGTCTATTTTACTCACTAAACTTAAAACGTTTTCAATTATGTTTTGCTCTCGTCTATTTTATTAATTAAACTTTAAAAAATTTAATTACTCTCTCTTTTATTTTGTACATTAAACTTTAAAAGTTTTCAATTATGTTTTACTTTCGTCTATTTTATTCATTAAACTTTAAAGAAATTTAATTACCATCTCTTCTATTTTACACATTAAACTTTAAAAGTTTTCAATCTCCTCAATTTTATCATTGAATGTATCGATTTTCAATTTCATCGTTGAAATTGACATTAGGTTTTTTGGGTTATTGAACTTTATCCTCCTATTTTAGTTAATATACCGTTAAAAAGTTAAACATCGTTTTAAACAATTTTTTTCTAATTTAACGTTATTTTGTATTTATATATAACGCATTTTAAAATAAATTCAACAAAGAAATCGAAATGATTAAAAATACAATGAATGAAATATTAACACCGATTAGTCTTTAGTAAAAAATGATTAAAAGTATAGTGAGTGTAAAGATTGAAAAAAATTTAAAATACAGTGAGTAAAATAAAAGATTACCGAATTAGTTAGTAAAATCCAGTTGCCGAATTTGTAATTTACCAATATTCTATATAACAAAAGATTAAATTTCGGACAAAAATAACATAGTGAGCATAATTGATAGATTGGAACTAATTGATAATCCATTAAAATGGCACAAAACTTTAAAACAAACAGCAGCTCCTCGATGTATTGAAAGTTGAACTAGAGAAGATAAAGATATTCCTCGGTCAAAGGAGTGAATCTAGATAATAAGAGTTGATAGCTAAAGGAACCTCTGAGTAAAAAATGATGATCTTAAGTCATCCTTTGTGCTGCTTCCTTTGCAAGAACCTTCTCCTTTGCCTTCGTTCTGGCTTGAGATTTCGACCCCATGATACCACCTCCCCACTTCTTCCTGTACTCGTCGTACTTGTCGTTGAAATTGGCCTAAAGCATACATTACACAGTTATTATATGCTAGGTATATAACTTGAATCGAATTCAATTTGAAAATACTTTGGATGTGATCCTTACCTTGATGGCCTCAAGGATTTTGCTGAAGTCTAACTTATCCTCATTCTTAACTGTGGTCAAGCACAAGACAGATGCAGTTTTCTTGTGGACAATCTGCAGTGGTATAAACACATATAAGTGACCTACTTAATTAACTCTACAACTGAAAGAAAAACACAAAAGACGATTACCGATCCCAAACGTGATTTCCCCTTGACTATGCAGTATGGCACCTCCATCTTTCTGCACAAAGCAGGAAGCCAGACAACCAACTCTATGGGGTCCACATCATGGGCAACTGTGCCTTGTTCTACAGGGGATAGCATAACAGACTCAATATTATATACTAGCTAAACTGATGAATATAAAGAAACTAAAGTGCAACCTGTTCAATAAGGTAGGTAACATGGTTAAGTCCATATTTCACAACAATTGGTTTCTTAGACTCGGGAGCTTTCCCATCAGCCTCGGCCTGGGCCTTTTTCAGGAGACGTTCCTTCTTGGCCGCCTTGTCCTCTGGCCTGTACTTGAGGAGCAACTTGAAAAGACTTGTTGCTGCAATTGGACATAAAATAACAAATCCAAAACCCTTATCATTATATACGGAAAAGGAATTCAGGTGAAAGGAATGTGAAACTGAATAAAACAGGGATGAAAGAGGCAAAGAAGTAAAAATGAAATGATACCATCAGATAATAGAACAGACACATAAACAAGCATGCTTACATGAAAATAAATAGAAATAACAAAGATTTTATCGCATACCAAGGTTCTTATCAAGGGTCTTAGTAAACTGGTTCAATGCTGGTGGGACCTTCAACCTCTGCTTAAGGATCCTCTTTTTCCTTTGAATGCGAACAACCTTAGGCCACTTGACAAATCGATGCAGATCCTTCTTTGGAGGGAGTGCCCCTCCGATACCAAACTGCTTTGGACGCTTCTCAAACAATGGATTCACAACCTTCTCCTAATTTACAAATTCAAAAGAATAATCAGATAGTGAAACCACAACCAATTTATTTCAGGATTCAGATGGTTAAGAAAGCGATGAAAATTACTTGTTTCTTCTTGGTCTTAGCAACCTTTCCGCCTCCCTTTGGGGCCTGCAATTAACAACATCAATAGAAAAACCAAAAAAGTGAAAGCTTTTAAACGAGTACATCAATTCTTAATTACGTTCAAACTTCAAACCATTACACTCATATCACTGGACTCACCATTGAAGTCCTTTAAACAATTGGTAAACTTCACTAAAGGAAAACCGATATCTTTGGGCAATTTCCAGCAAAGGACTTATAGTACCACAGCTTCTTCAAAACTTAATAAGAAACTAAAAGATTACTTCTTTTAGCTGTGAGATTAATGTTAAACTTTCAACTTAATAACCCTTAACCACACGCTCCTAAATCATAAAAATAGCTGTCATTGATGATAAAATGATCGTTTTCCACGAAAATCTATCAAAAATCATCTGAAAACCAAGTATGAACAGAAAACCCTCTCGATTTCGAATTTTTAACCTGGTTCTGTATAACATTCAATCTAAACAATACAGATTTACAAGGCTCGGAGAAGTGCATCTAAAGTACTTACATCGACAAATTGGAAAAAAAAAGCAGTGAATAAAAAAGAAAGAGGAGAAAAATAATTTGAAATGGGTTTCGGACATACCATTTCTGCACTTCCTTAAGCTTCTTCCAAGCTTGTGTTGAATAAGAAAGGACCGCTAAAGAAAACCCTAGAAAGAACGCAGCGGCAAAAGCGTAACAACTGGGGTTTTATAGAAGAAGGACAATGTTTGGGCTTCTGGCAAAACAAATGGGCCTAATGGTCCTTACTCATCAAAGCCGACGTTCCCAATGATTTTTGGTTCAACTCAACCTACCCAAATTTGATTTAAATAGTAAAAATAATTAAATTTTAAATTCAATTGTAGTATATGACTTAGTTGTAGCGGTGTGCAAAATAATATATAATGGTTAATCATAAATGTTAATCAATATAATCATTATATTTTGTAGGTTAATTAGCTAAATAGTTAAGGTTAAATGGTTTCAATTAATCGAACTGTTAAAAGTGATCATTAACAATTACAAATTTTAACAAATAATTAATCATATGTTAACCGTTAATGAATTATAAATATATTTTTCAAGAAAAATAGAAGTATAATGGTTTGTTTTATATTTGTTGAAGATTTGTCTTTGAAACTTTGATTGTGTATTGGATTATAGCTATTTGTTGAACTTTGTAGTATGATTAATGATTGTATATTTTATGTTGTGTTGGAAATTTATACTAATAAAACAATATGTACATGTACTAATTACTACGATATATATTTATTTTTCTAATTAAAGGATGTATGTATTTGGAATCTCTTTATGTAAGTATTTTTAAAAAAAAATTAATATATTATTTATTGAACATGTAATTTCATTATGTTCAATAGAAGTAGGAAACATTTGAAAAAGAATTTTTTTAAAAAAATTATAGGTTAAAATGTAATTGGATCGTTAATAATATTTAATGGTTAGTGGTTAGTTTCTTAACGTTTATGTTACGATTAGCAAAATATAGTAATCACATAATAATTAATCAAATTGTTTAAATTAAACGACACAGTTAACATATCGTAAACACCTCTAACTAACATAACATGTTATCGGACCAAACTAATATGGAGGTTTAATTTTAAAAAATAGGTTCATGATATCTAGTCTGGTCATAAGATATATCTTCTCACAATTTATGATGATTTCGGATAACAGAGCCCCACAATATTTGTACGGGTATTGTAAGACTTTAGTTTTGTTAGTGACAAAGGGATAATTTGGTCAAAATTATGTACATGTAGTGATAGAGGGATTGACCATTATTGTGTGATATTTTCACTATTTACAGTGAAATAAAAATTTGTGTATCCATTATTTAAAAGTGTACCATCAAGCATATAATTGATGTTATTGTTATATTGATAAATATAACAATTCTTATGTTGATGTTAAACAAGATAAAGTTGTCATTGTTATAGCTATGACAATAGAATCACCATCCGATAGATTGTTATGTTTATGGTTATCTCGTTAAGTTATACAAGTTTTGTAACGATTCAAATTTTTGAGTCAACATTTTAGTGTTGATACAATAATTTATTTAATAGGCTTATTATATTATGGTGGTCTATCAGTTCAAATTTGAGTTCAGTTGAGTGAGCAATTAGCCTTATTAGATATAAAAAGGCATTTTTTAAGCATTGGGTGAAAGGAAATGGACCTTGAGTGTGATTTACCCATTTGGGAAAAATATGGTTGATTTGTGGGGATTCTTTCTTATTATAGATGTAGGGTGTGGGAGAGAGAAAAAAAGGCTTTATTTTCTTTTTCCTATTCTCTTCTTCTTCTCTTTCTGTCTTCTACAATAAAACAAAAGAGTTGTATCAACACTAAAATGTTGACTCAAAAATTTGAATCATAAGCTCTAAAATGAGCTCTTCATCTTCTTCAATGATGGTCATGAGCTCATTTGGAGGGTTGAGAAGGTTTGACCTTCAAAGGCTTCCTTTCATAGTTTTCATATGTTTTTCATGTAGTTTACTTGTTGTCTAACAACTTACTTTCGTCATTTTCATGTTGGAATTGTTTTGTAGCTTTTGGTTGGTGAAAGAGTGGTGCAAGAACCCCTAAAATAGCAAGGTCAAGGAAAATTTGATTCTTGGATAAGCTAGAGAGATTTTGGGGTTGCTAGGAGCTAAGGTAGCACACTCTAAATTTTCTCTACTATTTGTAATGGATGCATTTAGCATGACTTGCTTGTGTGGGGTTTAAAAGCATGTATGGGTTTGATTGTTTGATTTGTTATTGTGGACATTTTAGATGTTACTTTAGTGTAAAAATAATATATGATGACCCCTAATAACTTTTATAAGTGCTTTAATAATCAACTTAGGCCTTAAAATAAATGTTTGGTTAATTTCGAGGGTGATTCTTGTGTGAAACAATGTATTTCTAGGTTATAGTATGGATATTGGATGTACAATATCGATACCAGATGAACAAAGGCAAAAATTAGGGTATTTTGTAATGGTAGTATTGATATTGCATAGGGTAGTACCATTACAATTCCTTTGAAAAATACAAAGGGTGTTTTTTGGGTCATTTCGAAGCTAAATTTGGTATCGATACTCAAGGGAGCATTAATACTACCTGAAAAAGTAGAAATAATACAAGTATGGTATAAATACTCATAGTATTTTGAGAGGTTTAGGGCTTTTTTAGTACCGATACTAAAGAAAAATATTGATACCCTAGGGTAGATATTGATCATCAGTGATGATTATTTAGTGGACTACAAGATGTCGAATAGAATTGAGAGTGAGGATTTTAATAACGATTTAGTTCGAACATGTAGCTTGGGTGTGATAAATTATGAAAGTACCCTTAGAGTGTTGAAATTATTGAATTGCCCTTATGAATCTAAGTAAATAAAATAAGAGTTTGAGTTGAAAAATGATTAATAATGATATGAGACTTAGGTGAAGAGTCTAATAATATTGTAATTGATTAATAATATGAAGGTTAATGATATTTGAATAATAATGTGAATAATTATTAATAGAATGGTAAGTGGTGTGTGACGAGACGTTTAGCTTTATAGCAAGAGCTTGATAATAAAGACTTGATAATAGAAATGTGCTGAAAAAAATTGATAAATAAAATGATGATATCAATTAGGTCGATAATATAATTACCACTTTTTGAGTGGAATCTTTAAGTGGGTGAATATCGGAGAAGAAATATGAATTATGAACGACGAATAGTTGTGAAGGATATACTTGTTAGCAAGATGGTGTACCGTACAAATAATGTGACAGAGAAATCATGTGTCATGTGTATATCAATAAAATGATGATGTGCAAGTCATCTCTCTAGTTTAAGGGTGAATTGAGGAAAAGTGTGATGAGAGCGACTAGAAAGTCTCTAGTGAATAATTAGTTGAGTCTTGGGTTAGAAAATAATTTATCATGTGCATAGTGATGATATTAATTGCTTGAGGCAATAAATTACTAAAAGATCTCTTTAGAGGAAGAAATGACCAAAACGTTATTATGTATGAAAATGACCATAATAGTGTGGTCTAATGATCTAATAGAGATATAAGAAGACTAATAAATCTTTGCATAACGCTTTAGATTAGAGGATGAACAAGATAATAAACTTGTAATTTTTTATTTAAATTATGTATTGGGTTTTTAAATTGGGCTTTCGCAATGATCCTTCGGGTGATCCCAAGTTCATGTTCCGACTTGGAATCATGATGAAGTCATCATCGATCATTTAGAATGAGGTCGATCGACCACTTTGATTTTGTCCATTTACCGGATCAGTGTCTATGCAGAGATGTATCGGATTCGAGAGTCATTTACGATTAAGGAATGATGAGCACCCTCGAATCGTCCTATTGATACCAATCCATTATGATTTTGTTCTAAAAAATCAAATATTTAATTTGAGATCCCACTTAGAAATAAATTTTGGCTTACACCTGCCATAAGATCCTTGACATGGACAAACCTAAAAATAAGAAAAGAAAATAGTTAGGTTTAAATAATTTTATAATTAAACTTTGAATAAATTAAAAAAAAGGATTTAAATAAATAAAAAAATATTAAGGTGTAATAAATAAAAAGATTAAGCGATATATAAAATAAACTAATGAAAATGTCAGAGAAACCTGAAAAATAAAGAGAAATATATTAGTAAAAATAAAACACAAATTAAATATTTAAATAAAAATTAAAATAAAAAGTGACTAGAATAAAATAAATGTAATATCAAATGACCAAGCTAAAATGAACAAATTGTAAAATATACCAGTTCACAATTTCATCAGAATTATGGGCACTGAAAGCGTGATTTCCCTCATAAACTCAAGGCAGGGGCAGGCAAGCGGCTAAACGGTATCGTTTTAGTGTTTATGCAAACCCCCAAAACTATGTCACTTTAAGGTGGGTTTAAAAACCCTTTCTTTTCCATTTTCCTCATTTTTTTGGTTATTTTCTCTAAAGAGAGAAGGTCTGATATTTCTTTACAAATGCAACAATATGCCGCCCCTCGTCACTAGTCACGACCTTCTACAGAACGTCATTCGCCACCGGTGGTGATGGCCGATGGGGGTCAAGCGGCTTTTCCTTGATGAGAGGAGTTTGGATCTGAGGCCTAAATTGTCGGGGATGCTCGGATCATCGTGAAACGATGAAAAACCATTCGGTTATATTTTCTTCTATCCGCTGCCATCTGTTGTTTGATCGTCTTGATTCCTTAGTATGTTGTTACTTGTTGTCTTTCCTCTATTCTCACCGTTTGGATCGTCAGGATTAGCCTCTGATCGTTGTGAATGTTGTTGGTCGAATGGGTAAGTTTATTTTACTCATTTTCTCTTCTTTTTTACTTTTTTCACTCACATCCTCTTTCATCATTTATTTTGTATGTGCGTCGGGGTGACGTTTTCGTCGAATTTCGTCACCGGCTTTCATTTGAATAATGTAAGAAATATATAAAAAAAAATATATGAATCAAAGTAAAAAAAACTCTTTTTTTATTGATTTCCCTTGTTTGTTACAATGGTTGCCCTCTGTATTCAAAAACCTCCCCCATAAACTATTTTTTGCCATATTTATACATGCCTAGATCTTATTTTACATTAAAATTTAGTGATTTGCAAATCTCTTTTACAATAAGTCATGAAATTTCT